TTTAAAAGGAATTGGCCAAGCGGCGCTTATCAAGGCTTTGAACTTTGATTCGTAATGCAGAACTTAAGTATATAGAGTAAGTACCTAAAGATAACTCAACTCAACGACTTTATCTTTTAGGTAAAGAGTGCGATTTTTTTTTATCTAAAGTCCTAGGTTCTATTTTCCATTGGGACACACGAATTGGGAAACCATTTTGTTATTCCAGTTTGGTGTTCAAATCGCAGGACGTTCTCACTCTTCTTGTGTATGTCGTAAAAGGCGACTAAGAGTCAAATAAGTGAACTTCAGGCCTCCCAAACCCATATGAATAGCGTGGGGAGTGAAGGCCAAATCCTTCATTGACTCTGGAAAATTAGAGAAAGTCGTGCTGCTGCAGCGCGCAAAAACTATAAATGACCTGTTGATGATGATTTTCTGCTTGAGATATGCTTGATACCTGTGGCTGCTCTTAGAGACTGACACTATCTAATGGAATAAGCACTTACAGGGCAGATATGTACCATCCTAGACTGCATCCCACTTAACATCAGGTGCGATTGTGGTCAAATACCTGCCTTGTTATGCATAAAAAAATAAATAAAAAAAAATAAAAAAAAAAGATCGAGAATAGGAGTAAAAGTAACCTAATAATCACAGGAGTTATCCACGCTCTTTAAACCTACCTCCGTGATACATTTCTATTTAATACAATCAATATGATTCCAATACACGATTTGTATTAGCACTAACCCAACTGAAAGCCTTTGCGATTTGTCAAAATGATCTAGGTACTCTTATAATGTACAAGTTGGTATGATTTATATCGGCAGAGCCTCCAAGAGTCGTGACGTGGAGATTTGCTGGATTTACCGTTACACACCTGCCGAATTTGATTTATACCAGCTTGTTACCTTACCGTATTGTAGTACAAACGTTCGTCGGTTCCTGGTGTTAAAAGTGCAGATACGAATTCACATTTTTGGAAGGATTTCGACGTTAAAACCCCTTAAGTATGGAACGAATAGTATAAATATTATTAAGTAATTTTCTACATTTACTAATAACGAATCGCTTTGGCTGAAAAAGCTCTTCGGTCAGATGTTTTGACTTACACACATCACTATTTTGCAATAGTCAAAAATAATAGTTTAATTCATAATAATAAGAACTTACTTCACATACATTATAAATTATGTGTATTTTTTTAGGCTATCTACTGTCAGAACAATTAATTTTATTTTTTAACCTTTTTGCTCTTGAAACCTAATTTTACTACGGCAAGAATGACAAATGGAACTAAATAAATAATTAAGGACAGTTACATTAATTGAGGTTACTTACAATAATTAATGTACTCATATGCGTCCACACATCATTTATCTTTAGTCAGTTTTAATTTGACTGAATATATTTGTTAACTGATTCAATTAATCATAACAAAATCTAGATTGCAAAGTCTTGTCCATTCTAATCTTAACTAGATCTTAAGCTTGCTAAATAAAATTCAACCTTTTCTAAGTTTTGATGAAGTTTTGGATCTTGTTCTTAATTGGATTGGTTTTCTCCCATTCTACTCAAGAAAAAGACATTTTAAAAAGGCTCTGTTACTCGTTCATCTGGAAAAAAACGTCACATTGCAATCAGTGGCGGGTGGGCAATAGTTTTTATGGAGTTGGACTTACTGCCTGCCTAATTGGTGCTAATATTTATTTCAAATCACTCATTTTTTTTTATCGATAAAAATCGTCTACCTAGCATGCATTGCTGCCTACCTAAAATACTCGTGCTCACAAAATTGGTGTACCTTCCAGGCTCGAAACCCCTCAGAATTTCATTCCAAAAACACTTCCCCAACTAGCGAACAGTCCAAACCGTAATTCCAATCCATTCATACATAGTCCATCCATATCAAAACATCGGATTATCTTGTTGGACCTAAATTAAACACACATTAAAGATAATTGTGGGGTCCGGGCCCGGACCCCCGGGCGTCTGACCTCTGAGGTCAGTAAAATTGTGCTGTAATTTTCTTTGCTTTCTATTAAAACAAATTTCAATTAGCCCGCGTTTGCTTTAATAACTTTAATTAAATTATCCTTTGCAGTTTTCTTGGTTTGATGTTTTGCTTTTGTGGCGTAGGGTTGACAAGTTATCGCATGTAAAAAAGCAGCTCATGAAGTTCTGCAGAAAAAAAATATTTTGCAGATTGTTTTTGACATGTGATTGATTAAACCATTCTAAAAGTGGGTAATGGTATAAAAAATCTTACACCTAGTTGCTACAGCAAACCAGCCCTCATCTTATTGTAGGTAATCAGGGGTCAAGGTTAGCAAAGTCAAGTCATTTACCTTAACATGATTCAAGAATCTTGAACACTCTCGTCATTAGTCGAGTTCTGTCTTCAATATAAAAGAACTTGAACTACGTAGTCTAAGCAGTCGCGACTTATACGCGCTCTACATAATAATAATGCCACTTTAATGGGTTATAATAAAATGCCAACTCAAAAAGAATACACAATCAATAGAAAAAAGTATTCGCGATTAATTCCACAAACAATACTATTAACCTAGCTCCACTATTAACATTCCCAGCATACCGATCCCGACTAGGTTCGTGGCACCCCTGACGTGACGTCACGAGGCCCCGCCCACCTGTCGCGAACCCCGCGTTAAGACGTAATAGCGCGCGCGCAGCCTCCCACGCGCCGCGCGGGGGGCGAGACATGTGAAATGCTATGGGAAAATTATGGAATAGTTTGTTTTGCTGCATGGAAATTAAACCAATCAGATGGGAAGAGGATGGTGTGCCCATTGATGTGAAAAAATCTGTCATTGTGGTACGTGTACCACAATGACAGATTTTTCTTCGTGAAGAATCGATCCATTGATGTTAATTTGTAAATACATTATATCGTTTTGAAAGTTTGATAAATCATGATTGTTGTGAGGTTCAACTAGTTTTTAAACATATTATGTAATGTTATGAAAGAAATTTGTTTTAAAACAAACCAAATTGACCAATGGTATCGATATGATGAAAGTACAGTGCTGAAAGCTTGCTGAAAATATGACAAAACTCAATAAAGCCTTCTTTTCAGGGGCTTTTTAACTTATATTGTAATGTGTACACATAGATTTTATGCAGTATCATTTCCATACATTTTAAGTGTTTCGTCACGAGTAAAACTTATAGTGTAAACAGACTAATTTCTTCTGTAAAATCGACGCAAAAGACAATGCCGGAAATTGGCGTCTTTTTTTTTTCGCGCGGCCATCGACCAAACCTTGTTTTTTGATTACAAAATAGTGTAATAAACCAAACTTAGTATGACATGTATACCTCTAAACTCAGTCTGAACTGAGTTACGAGCATCAGAAGTTTGATGATTTTCATACTAGATTTGCTGTTTGGGCGCAAGTTTTGTAAGAAATTGTAACAAAATAATGACATTTTATGTGTAAACAAACGATACCATCCATTAAAGGCTCCAGACATCAGTATGCAGCAGAATCAGCGCAATAAAAAAAAAGCGCAATATTTTGTTGCAATTTCTTACAAAACTTGCGCGCAAAAAGCAAATCTAGTATGAAAATAATTAAACTTCTAATGCTCGTAACTCAGTTCAGACTGAGTTTAGAGGTATACATGCCATAGTAAGTTTGGTTTAAAACACTATTTTGAAATCAAAAAACAAAGTTTGGTCGATGGCCGCGCGAAAAAAAAAAGACGCCACCTTCCATACAAAATCTGGCATTGCCATTTCTACTTAATTCTAAGACGTTAATAGCCAACGTTTAGTTGCAACGGTACGCACAAGGTGGCGCTGGCGTCGCGATTAAAATAATACTCTGCGGTCGGCTCACTGATGAAAATTTCGATGTAATCTGCCTTAAGTATACGCCTCTTTAAAAATAAAAGCGTCTACGCTGTACTGGCGCTTTATATTGTGCGACTCTACGAAGGGAGGCAAGTGTTAGCTAGCTAGAGTGAGACAGAGTTACAAGACTTTGACATTTTAGCAAAAATTGTTATCGTAAAACGTACTGAAATTTTAGTTTTAAATGGGACCAGAATGGGACTAGTTCCACTTCTCTTTCACATCACTACAACTCCTGTATAGCCAAAATCTACAGCTTAACTTTATTGAAACAAAACCAGTGAAGGAAGACCAGTCCCTGGGATAACTTTACTGTTTTGGAGCAAGCAAATCTTTTAATTCTTCTTGAATTCTTGTTGAAGATGTTGAACATTAAAATATTACTTATCATGACGGTTCAAACTTTCAACTCTTCAGTCAATTGTTGTGAATAATTTAAATAACCTCAATCGAGTTATTTAACTACTTTTTAGACCTTTAAATCTCTTCTTTTACAAAGATCGTCAGGTGTAAACGCCACTCTCTGCGGCGACGGAACGACTCAGTTCCGCAATTATCATTCTGTGCCTTTCTTTTGTTGCCGTCGCAAAGCACTGCGCCTGCGCCCTAGCGCTTGCTAATCGCCGCTGCTTTTAAAGCGAGCGGTGTTTAAATATATGGGAAGTCACTGCTTCAATCTGAAGTTAGTTTGTTGTTAGTGTGTTTACATAAAAAATGCTAAACAATACAAAAGCAGCCAAATGCCATTCTTAGTTCTTGTAGATTTTATCAAGGCATAACAATCGAAAATTGAATATCGAGCTAAATGGCATTAAAATTTGGTTAAGGTCCTGCACTCTAGCTAGACAAAGAAACAATCATGACAGTCTTGTCAAAATAGCTTAGAAAATACATGCAAAAAATGTATATTCCACAATTAATTAGCCCGTTAATAGTAGTAGCAATAAAGATATTTCATTTTCATTTAATCCTTCGAGCTAAACTAACACGTGCTTGTCTTACAAGTGAGTTGGTTCCCAACGACCAACAGCAACGGGGTTCATACTACTATGGCGTGTAGCCAGGGTTGGCATAAAAACCCAATAAAAATGTTGCCTCAATATAAAAATAATTATTCAAACTCTTCTTTCTCCCACAGGAGGACCTCCTCATCCACGGGGACAGTGTATACGACGTGATCGACAAGCAAGACCAGCAGGCTGTGAGGACGGAGCTGGCGAGGGCCCCCACCGATGGGGAGGACAGGGTGTTCCTCTGTCGGATGAATGTGGCCAGGAACGCGAGGCGGCAGATGCGGTTTGGGGATCAGAAAGTAAGTGAATAATTATAATTTTAGCTAATGGCAGTTCGGTATTGGAATAGGATAGGCTTGCTTTTCCCAAGAAAAGCTGAAATGTACCACAGAAAACTTGTTTTGTGCAAAGCACCATCTCCCGTTTTTTTCATCAAGTCACTAAATAAGTAAATAATAATAAATAATTACAGGATGACCTAAAAATTAAAAACCTTGAAAAAAAATTATTGTTTAAGTCATGAAAGTTACTTACAAAGCTTGTTTAATAAATACTAAACACCTACCTACCTACTAAAATTAGTAGGTATCCTAAATTGGCAAAAAGATATTGAAAAAGTTTGATGCTTAAAAAGTGAGTATTGAATTGGCGAATGTTTTAGATATTAACTCGACCACTCTTGCCACCGACTGCAGACAATTGATTCTGTAACATGTCTGCTTATTAAGTTCATTTGGTAATTAACTTGCCTCTAAAATAACTAGACCAAAATTACGTACATAAATTGCGAGGTAAGCTTACAATTAATTAGAGACGCGAATACCGAACCCGTTCATAATCACTTCATATTTCAGACTAGACAATATAAGTAATCCAAATTATCAATAATTGCGGTACTCCATCGCAGATGTAACACTTTAGCTAATTTAAACATGTAATAAAAGCAATTTTAAAGAGATTCTTAAAAGTTCAAAAGTGAAACTTAATTGCGCAACTTTATGACAAACTCAATTAGGATTTCTTCACTACCACAGTGTAGAAAAGAAGAGAAGATTCTCATTAGCGACATTATGTACAAGAATAATTATTATTACTGACGGGATTTCTACAATGTACCTTAATTTAGAGTTACTCCGTGAACATGGCGCCGTGGCACCGTGAAACAGTGCTGAAATATCATCGGAAACTCAAAATTAAGCATGTTAGCAATCCCGTTAGTAATAGTAATTATGTTAATGACCATGAAAGCTTAAAACAATTTATATTATGCACAGGTAATTGAAATGAGCTAGAGATAAGAGCATTTAATAGAGTCCCCAAAAAATATATCTGTAACAAGGAAACTGTGGCATCTTATGCTTAATCCTGATAGGATTTTCAACTAAATTGAGATAGCTTAGTTTGCTGTCAATCGTACAAAATAAATGAATCCCAATTCTATCCACAGTGAACCTATACAAATACCCCTGACTGAATAAAAATTGAAATGAAACCAAGGCTTGCACCATAACCATCAAAATCATTGTACATTTAGGTACTTATTGCGACGATATGAATGCGGCAGTATTGATCGAGTGTACTGTGCCTTCCTTTATTATGTCTATACCATATGGAACAACCTAGACCAAGCGATATGTTCATTGGCACACCTCTAAAAATAATTAGCTAGTCGCATCAAGCTTCACAGTTAATTGCTGACAAAAATATTCGTCAATATTACGGATGAACCCATGAACTTTTGTCTTCAATCATACGATCACTAAAATCAAAATTGTAACGTCAGTCAGACACGTAAGTAATCTTGAAATATCATAAACGAAATTGATGCGAGCATAATTAACAAGTTTGCTTTCAAAAGATTTAAGTGAATATAAAACGGAGTGTAAAGGTTGGTCTTGACTTGCCACAGATGAGTTAGAGAGGAAATGAGCAAATATCCGATGATAATGACGAATTAGTAAAGATTATAAAAGAAACATATATATACATATATAGCAGCGCTCTCTGAAAAACATCAATCTTTTAAACTGCGATCTCCAACCCGCCTGCCAAGCGTGGAGATTATGGCAAAACCCTCCACTATAGTGGAGGAGGCTCATAGTCCAGCAGTGGACTGTAAAGGGCTGTTGATGATGATGATGATAAAAGAAAACAATTATCAAATACACAAAAAATACATTTACTTGTACATCTTTTAAGTCCGCTCTCTCAAGAGTATTACGAGTCTTCAAGAAACATTATATTACGATTGAGCTTAATTTGGAAATTACTGATTAATCGACTACAATACGATACTGGGACTCCATAGAACCAGAATAGCTGCTCAACACAAAAACAAAACTATCGACACTCTTTAGCAAATCCTATTAGCCAACAGATATTAATAAGTTCCTAAGCATTCGTGGAAAATAACCTCTCACACCATTTTATTATTACAAAATAAAAAGCTACGACCTTTCTTGAAAGTTTCGCCTTTACTTGCTGATCCCCTATCAATTCTCTCTAACTTAAGACCTCAACACTTCCAACGTTAATAATTTTAACACGTATTAAATTTTATATTAATCTTTTCCCAAGTGTGAACACGCCCTCACGGGGCCGGCTACACTGACTGACAAATTGATAGGCTTCGATATACTCGAGTTATTATAGGTAATTGAAAGCTCACGCGCTCGAAAGTGTGGTGTGTTCACCGCCAGTTTGTGTAATTATCCCATGGAGAAATTGGTGATCAGCGCTAATCAGACTTTATCTAACGATCGGTCGGTGGTTTCCAACATTTGAGGGAATCGCCCTGATGATTGGCAAGCCCATTTAACTTATATTATACATTTTACCCTCCAGATGCTATTTTACAACTAAAATGTATGTTTATTGTTCTTACCTGCTGTAAATTAGTTATCTGATAGCCTGGAGACGATAAGGTTTCTTTCTCCTCCTTCTGGAGGATTATTTACAATAATGCCTTCTGGCATTATTGTAAACTAGCGGCCGCCCGCGACTTCGTACGCGTGGATCCCGTTTTACCCCCTTCATCTATCTTACGCGGTTTAGATTTTTTCATACAAATGTTTTTTCCCGCTAACTCCCGTTCCCGTGGGAATTTTGCAATATCCTGTAGTAACTAAGCTTTAAGTTTATTAAGGTACCTGCATGCCAAATTTCAAGCGTCTAACTTAAGCGGTTTAGATTTTTCATACAAAAGGATTTTCCCGCTAATTCCCGTTCCCATGGGAATTCCTAAGTATCCTATAACCTGCCCAGGAGTATGAAGAATAATTGTACCAAATTTCGTTAAAATCCGTCTAGTAGTTTTTGTTTCTATAAGGAACATACAGACAGACAGACAGACAGACAGACAGACAGACAGACAGACAAAAATTTTACTGATTGCATTTTTGGCATCAGTATCGATCACTAATCACCCCCTGATAGTTATTTTGAAAATATATTTCGTGTACAGAATTGACCTCTCTACAGATTTATTATAAGTATAGAAGAAGATAATAACTTCTCAGTATTTGTGCAATCATATTGATTTAAATGACATAAGTTAGCCATTATTTCTAACATACCATTGCGCTATGGTATGTTAGAAATAATGGGCGCTATTGAGAAACAATGTTGCCAACAATAGTTGCAAAAGGATAGCAAAACGTTAGACCCAGTGGAGTCACTTTGGCACACATTGGAGAAAATCTTTGACTAGTACTGGCAGGACCATCTTTACGTCATTTGGCTGAAACGAGAGAGAACGAGAAAGCACTGGTAGGAGGATATGTTAATTTATGAATATTTTTCATATATTATTGACAGAAAGGGGCGCTACGCGTGCAAATGTTGACAATCGCTGACTAAATTGTGACCAATATTGGCCTCAAACATTGCGTGGGTTGACCGTGAGAAAACGCAAATGGGTTCGGCGATTGACTTATTTATACGCATTTATGATGCTAATATTCGTTTATTCGATTCAGCAATAATCTAGATTTCAAGATTGATATCGACAACTTCATAGGTATTAACAAACACGTTTAATAGCCGTTTAATTCGATTTACATTGGATTTCGATTATATTAATATTTTGGTGTGTACGCCGTGCCTACATACCTTTGATTTTGATACCTATAATCATTGACCTAATTACAACTAATTGCAATTAACTTTGTAGCAATACTAAACTAGACCGCTAAACTAAGCCTGGTAGTCTTAAACGATACCTAAAACTTTATACATACTCAAGCGTAGGTACTAAACATTATAGATGTGGTTTATGTAAATACCTACACACACACACACACACACTTAATCAAAATATAGTAAAAAAATCAATATACTTAAGTAATATATTATTTTGTTAAGGATTTTGAAATTTTGAAATTGTAATGTTTATAGATAGAGACTACCATGTCAAGCTGTTATTTTTATCCTACGCTAAGAGCTAAGGTGTCACACCAAGTAGTTGTTGCTAAATAAACCCTTTAATATGGCTTTAGTCCAGCTTAACATTCAACTAAGCTTTTGTACTTTACTCCATTTTGTACAGACCACACCAAGTTAAACAATGAGGCATCTACAACACTGGTTATAAGTGTTACTTTGCAACAAAATGTAAAGCCTAATGTGCCGTCGGTTGTACATAGAGACCATTCTGTAAACACTCGCGAATAGTTTATGGGCATATGTCTTGAACTAGGGTACATAAATTAAGATTACTCTACTCCATGTCACTGGTTCTCAACTTTTCGATCTTTGTAGCCTACGTTACAATTTTCAGAAAATATTCTATTATACGTTGCTGACTATCTTACTGTAGTATCTAACATCGCTTTTTCTTCTTCTTATTCGTTACGCTCTTGGCAGAGCGGTCGTGGTCACGTTGAGGCGTTGTTCACATCCGTTGTAGAGGCGGCTACAAATCTCCGCACGATCACTCGCCATCTCTCTCTATGGCAGACTGTCTGGTGCAGTCACATGAGCCGTCTCCCACTGCTGATTTCACTTGGTCGGTCCAGCGCATTGGCGACCTGCCACGCGATCGGGTTCCTTCGACTTTTCCTTGGACGACCAGTCGTTCTATGGAGTTGTCATCCCGTCTTAAGATGTGTCCGAAGTATTGCACTATGCGCAACTAGCATCGCTACATGCAGCAATTTTTTAAGGCATGCTGATACACACCAAAGCACATGACTTAAATTATAGCAAAATGTTGACGATACCTTATTACCGCCCACGCTACCATACTAACCAATACATTGCAGCGTGAGACAGTCTAAAACAACAAATTGTAGTAATCTGC